AGTGTCCAGAGTTTTAAAAGCTGCAGAAAGTGGCCACTATTGATTACTGCCCCATCATTCTCTGGGTTGTTTGCAATGTACAATAAAATCATATGGACACATGCTGCTATTTATATCAATAGGCTTTAAAAAAAAAGACTGTAAACATCCCTCCTTTCAACTCATTTGCTAAAGATCTAAAGGGCACATATCACAATTTTATACATCATCCATTAACATTCAAAGCATGTTGTGTGAGACATTAAAAGCATTGGGTAATTGAAATAGATCTTGGTCTGGCCCCAAAAGAACAATAGATTTGCCACTAGAAATCCTTAGGGAGCCTTCCATTCCCTGAACACCACCTCCACTGCCCTTCTGGGTGTTCCATTCCAACAATTCCCAGCACCTTCCATTTCCCACTACACTGTTCTCACTTGTAAGGAAAAGCCTTGAGGAAGGGATGTGGAGAGGAGATAACAGTGGAGGGGCCAACCAGCCTCACCCACTTCCATGGAGGCAGTCCTTTCAAAGAGGGGAGGGACCCAGCAGCTTCACCTGTGATTGAGAAAGGCTCATGACACCTGCAACTACCCAAAACTGGCCCCCAAGTGAGTTATTTGGTCTTTGGAGTACAAGGTAGTAGGGAGTTAAGAGTGAGGGTTCAGATAATCCAGAATATACCTCGCTTGTATATAATTTTGAAAGCTAAGCAGGCACAGTCCTGGCTGATACTTGGATGTATGAAAATAGATGAATAGCAAAAGTATTTTATTTATAGATCCAACTATTCATTTAACCATTCGTATATGCACATCTGGGGTCCACTAAGGTTCTTGAAATAGGATTCAGAAAGAAACCTGCCCGAAGAGCTGCTGCCAGTCAGAGCTGATAATACTGGGCTAGGAGGATCAAGGCCCTGACTAAGTGTAAGGCAGCTTCCTATGTTCCAAGAGCTGTGCTGCTTTCTTTGAACCTGAGCAGGGATGTCTGCATTTCTGAGTACCACCCACTTTATATGCTCATTCCATCTTTGTTTCTTACCAGGTGGCTTCTCTGGATAAAGAGCACCACTTGTACAGTGCCACAAGTAGAGGCTCTTCAGATGACAGGAGTGCTCAGATAACAGGCTCTGAAGATGAGCTTAGTATTTGAGCAGTTTTACTGTACAGCTCTGTACACAAACCATTCCTGTGAAAGTGATACAATGTATGATACAATGTATGAAAATAGGTGAATAGCAAAAGTATTTTATTCATCGATCCAACCATTCATTTAACCATTCGTATATGCACATCTTTATTTTTTAGGCTAAACTCACACAAGGTAGGTTACAGTAAGAAGTGGAACACTGTATTTTTTAATCGTACAAAAATATTGTATAACGTACTTGAAAACAGATGATTAGTTAGCAAAGGAGTTTTAGCAAAGGATTCAGAAAGAAACCTGCCCGAAGAGCTGCTGCCAATCAGAGCTGATAAAACTGGGCTAGGAGGACCAAGGCCCTCAGTGTAAGGCAGCTTCCTATGTTCCAAGAGCTGTGCTGCTTTCTTTGAACCTGAGCAGGGATGTCTGCATTTCTAAGTACCACCCACTTTATATGCTCATTCCATCTTTGTTTCTTACCAGGTGGCTTCTCTGGATAAAGAGCACCACTTGTACAGTGCCACATGTAGAGGCTCTTCAGATGACAGGAGAGCTCAGATAACAGGCTCTGAAGATGAGCTTAGTATTCGAGCAGTTTTACTGTACAGCTCTGTACACAAACCATTCCTGTGAAAGTGATACAATGTATGATACAATGTATGAAAATAGGTGAACAGCAAAAGTATTTTATTCATCGATCCAACCATTCATTTAACCATTCGTATATGCACATCTTTATTTTTTAGGCTAAACTCACACAAGGTAGGTTACAGTAAGAAGTGGAACACTGTATTTTTTAATCGTACAAAAATATTGTATGACATACTTGAAAACATGTACACATGTCTTGTCTTTTAGGATTAACCCATACAAGTCAGCTTAAAATAAAAGGTTATCAACAAAGCAATGGAATGCATACTACAAAAACAACATCAGATTTGAACATACATAAGGATCCAGCAATAAGATAAATGAAAAGCTTGATAGAAGAAGTAGTCAAAGCCTACTTAAAGAGAAAACATTTAGTACAGTTTTAATGATGAGGCTTCCACCACTGAAGTCTTGATACCCATCAAACAACTTTAGGGGCATGGCCAGGTACATCTGTATGAACTACAAATGATTGCAATGGAGTAACAAAAAAAATACTCCTGTCCCCTCCTGTGGGGACAGGAGGCAGAGGGCTCCGGGGACAGGAGACAGAGGGCAGTGGAGGGGGTTTTGAAGCCCGTGAAGCTGGAAGCCAGCAGCAGGCACGGAGCGGCTTCCGGCTTCCTGGGCTTCCAAAGTTGCCCCCACTGCCCTCTACTTAAACAAACCATTAGCCTGCAAGGTTTTCCATGTAGACAATACTCAGAAATGGTTTAGCATTCCTTTGTTCTGGAGACACCTTGGACTGTGCAGCTTGCCCAAGGCAACACAGGCTGCATCTACTCATAGGAAGCAAACTACTGATCTGTGGTTCAACAGCTGGATACCTAAATTACTGAGTTAAGTAGGTCATAAGTTCAAGATCATACAGGACTGCCCAGGCTCAACCTAGTCCCCTGAAGAACAGGTGAAATCCAAACAGGGTAGCAGCAAATTACTCATGAAATGTGGCCCCCAAGCAGCTACCTTCTGCACCAGCTGTAGACTCTGAAGTAATTAATGAAACTGACCAGTTGCTCTAACATTAATATCTGGCAAAATTCTACATCAGAAGTCAGTCTATAACCATCTACAATAGAATGCATTTATTACTAATCCTCTATAAAGGATGATGATGATGATGATAAGATGTAGGTAATAGCACGGAAGACATAAGCAAGATTCTGAGTAATTATTGAAAGTCTAGAAAGCTGTACTGAAACCAACAAAAATAAATTTAACAACAAAATCTTATGTTGTGCATTTAGATACAAGCAATTAAAAGCACAAATATAGGTTCAGAGAGACTTGGCTTGACAGTTGTTATTATGTGCTCCCAAGTCAGAACTGACCTAAACCCTAATAAGGCTTTCAGAGTATGTGAGGTTGGACAGTAATACATGTAAAAAAGATGTAGGTATTTAATAATAATCATTTGCCATCAAGTCAATAGCAGCAGGCATGGAGCGGCTTCTGGCTTCCTGGGCTTCCAAAGTTGCCCCCACTGCCCTCTACTTAAACAAACCATTAGCCTGCAAGGTTTTCCATGTAGACAATACTCAGAAATGGTTTAGCATTCCTTTGTTCTGGAGACACCTTGGACTGTGCAGCTTGCCCAAGGCAACACAGGCTGCATCTACTCCTAGGAAGCAAACTACTGATCTGTGGTTCAACAGCTGGATACCTAAATTACTGAGTTAAGTAGGTCATAAGTTCAAGATAGGACAAGTGTTGTGCTGCTGCTAAAAAGGCTAATTTTAGCCTAAATAAACAAACCACAGCATCTAGATCAAGGGTCTCCAAAGTACGGCCCGTGGGCCACGCTGAGTTAAGTAGGTCATAAGTTCAAAACAGGACAACAGTGTTGTGTTGCTGCTAAAAAGGCTAATTTTAACCTAAATAAACAGAACCACAGCATCTAGATCAGGGTCTCCAAAGTACGGCCCGTGGGCCACATCTGGCCCGCCTTGCCTTTTTATCCAGCCTTGGCATAGGAAGAGGAGGGAAGGGGGACCCAAGTGATTTCCCACCCCTGCTGTCTATGCAAAGACAGAGGGGGTGGGGGGTTGCTTGGGTCCCCTTCCCTCCTTCAGCCCTTGAAAATGTGTAAAATATCTGATGTTGCCCTCATACTGAAAAGTTTGGAGACCCTTGTAATGTCCTTACAGAGGGTTGCAAAAGCTTGAAGAAACGTTATGATCTTTTGCAGTTAGAAGGAAGGAAGGAAAGAAAGAAGAAAAGAAGGAAAGAAAGAAAGAAGAAAGAAAGGAAGGAAGGAAGGAAGGAAGGAAGGAAGGAAGGAAGGAAGGAAGGAAAGAAAGAAAGAAAGAAAGAAAGAAAGAAAGAAAGAAAGAAAGAAAGAAAGAAAGAAAGAAAGAAAGAAAGAAAGAAAGAAAGAAAGAAAGAAAGAAAAAAAGAAAACGAAACAGAACAAAATCTTAAGTTTCCCTTGCTTGTTTGTGTAAAATTTGGCTTTTCTAACCTACCACCTTCATTAAAAACAAACAAAAGTAAAAATCGGTTATGAAAATGATAGCAATAACTGTTTGATATTTCTGCACGCAGTGAGAACATGTAAGCGAATGATGCTGAGTGGCTGAGAAACAGCAAGTGACATTTCTCGAAACAGAACAAAATCTTAAGTTTCCCTTGCTTGTTTGTGTAAAATTTGGCTTTTCTAACCTACCACCTTCATTAAAAACAAACAAAAGTAAAAATCGGTTATGAAAATGATAGCAATAACTGTTTGATATTTCTGCACGCAGTGAGAACATGTAAGCGAATGATGCTGAGTGGCTGAGAAACAGCAAGTGACATTTCTTGCCACTGCATAGACAATCAGAAGCTGTGGAAAGAGTCAGATTCATTGTCAATGTGAGTGTTCAGATGGACGTCAGTGACTGTGTTTCTTCTTTGATTTCTGCTAATAAAATTCTTAGCTTATTGTCCTGTAAAGTGATTTTTCGTATTAGCACAGTAAATTTATTTATTTATTTATTTATTTGATTTGATTTATATCCCGCCCATCTGGTATATCAAATTTCATAACAATACATTTTGGCTGAGCCTCAGACTGGATTACTTGCTGAATCTGAACTGTAAAAGAACTGATTTTGTTGATGAGGGTGCATCTTCTTCAAAGCAAAATGAAGCTTCTTCCAGTCATCGTGAAAAGTGTTGCCTTTATAGCAAGGAATATCTCTCGATGAGATCATTCATGAGAAACTTTAAATAAACATTTGATGCTTTAGGATTTTATGATATTTAAAGGGGGTCTGTGGTTAAGAAAAGGTTAAGAACCACTTGGTCTAGATCATAAGAATCAATACTAATATTCTGCACTGCTGACACTGCAGCCAGAGCACTGCACCCTATTTTAGATGCCACATTTAAAAAAGGAAATTGATAAACTAGATCGTTCCCAGGATAATGATTATTCTAGAAACCAAACTGTTTAAGAAGTGACTAGAAGAGCCAGAGTACTGCACCCTATTTTAGATGCCACATTTAAAAAAGGAAATTGATAAACTAGATCGTTCCCAGGATAATGATTATTCTAGAAACCAAACTGTTTAAGAAGTGACTAGAAGAGCCAGAGTACTGCACCCTATTTTAGATGCCACATTTAAAAAAGGAAATTGATAAACTAGATCGTTCCCAGGATAATGATTATTCTAGAAACCAAACTGTTTAAGAAGTGACTAAAAGAGCTGGTTACAGAAAAACAGAGAAGACAGATGGGAAACATGATTAATGGGAGATTGCCTGAAGAGGTGGTGGACCAGCATAGTAAGTTACTATGGAAGCTATAGTCCAAAATAGTGGTGAGACAAAGGACTGTCAACAACAACAACATATAGCCTCTAATTTTCAGCCCCTCTTGCATGTGTGGCTTCGCCCCAGCATGCACAAGTGCATGACTCCATCCCCCTATGCAGTGGGGTCTGTTGCGACTGGAAACTAATGTGATTGCTGCATGGAAAAGAAGACAGTTGTGTGGAGGGAAGTGGACTCGCGTGCACACCCAGCTTAGCGGGAACCTTGGTTTAGGTAGAACTTCGGCAACCACCTGCAAAAATGCTGTAGTGGCATCTTCACTGGAGATCTGTACTTAGGAAGTTGGACCAGTTCTTTCAACTCCCTTAAACTCTAGATTTGAAGTCAACAGGGGATATATGAAAACATCCTGCGGTGGATTCTGTCCATAGTTCTTTTAATATATTCATATTGTTGCTTTAACTGAGTTGCAAAACATAGGTTTCTTCCAAGCTCTCATCATCCACATAAACTTCATACTTCATTTCACACGAGACCAGTTGGATCAGTTATTTTTTTCACTGGTTGGTCCTGGATCTGGACAAAGAGACACAGGATTACGAATCTCTTATGAAAATAAATCTTTCTCATTAGAACATCTCAATTTAACAGTGGGACATTTTCTCCTCACACTCACCGCCACCCCAACATTTCAGATTGGTGTCAGGAATAAGAGGGGAGGGGAAACCAAGATCAAGGGAATTAAGAGAAAGTGATATGACATTGGGAAGCACACAGAAATGGTACTTAAAAGAAAAGACAATAGAAATTACTGCATGTTTGCATGGAGTCAGTTATCAACAAATCTATACACAGAAATTTATTAAAGGGGAATGAAAAACCTGTGTATAGGAAGAGCTGTGAAGGATCTAACAGGAGAAATTTATGAGGTGATGAGGAGATGAAAAGGGGAATGTTAGTTGAAAATCTCTTATTTCTTGGAGATATTTTGAAAAGCACATCTGACACTGCAATAGCCCATGTGATCATATTTCAGGGGCAGGCAACTTTGATTGGCCTGGGAGCTGAATTTTTACTTCCAGTGTCTTTAGGAGTCACACCAGGGCAGAAATGTAAGGAAATGTTATATAGGGAAACCCCAGAAGTGCTTAGTTTCCATTTTGAGATCTCAGGGGATCTAGAAGGAGAGTTCCCAATATGGCTGATGTAAAATTAGTATCCCAAAGGCCTCCAGGAACAGGAAACACATCTATCTCAAAACCAACAGTACCAGGGGCTCCATATAAAAAATGTCTTAACTGCCACATGTGACCTGTGAGCCCCACTGTCCCCATTCTGTCATCTCTGTTGCATGTCCCATTAGTGTCTATATGACTTGGCTTGGTTAGGTTTTGGAATGTCTTACTGTAAAAGTAAAAACAAACACATAAACAAACTCTCAAGCATTTTATAGCACTTACCTTCAGGCAGCAAAAAAAAATGCTAATGTAATACCTAGGTGTCCGAATCAAGGGAAGTAATGGGACCTATCAATTCTTCACTGCTCAGAACTTATCAGGAATACTGTGTCCAGTTTTGGGCACCACAGTTTAAGAAGAATGTCAAAAAGGTGGGATCTGTCCAGAGGAAGGCAGGACTGTCAAGAGTCTGAAAACCCAAGTCCTGCCAGGAATGGTTGAGGGAGCTGAGCAATATTATTCTTCTGGGGAAAAGACCGAGAGGAAATATGATAGCTTTCTTCAAATATTTGAAGAGTGGGCATAAGGAAGACAGAATGACCTTATTTTCTGCAACTCCAGAGGATAGGACCCAAAGAAATTAATTTAAATTACAAGAAAGGAGATTTTGACTCAACATTAAAAAGAACCCCCCAACAGTGACAGCTGTTCAACAGTGGAATGGACTCCCTTGGAGGTTTGTAGATTTCCCAACACTGGAGGCATTTAAACAGAGGTTGGATGACTGCCTGTCAGGGATGTTTCCTGACAGCCCATTTTCCTGCTTTGGCAAGGGGCTGGACCTAACAATCCCTGTGGTCCCTTACAGCCCTAGACGTCTATTAATTCATTATTCTGATTTCCCCTGGAATATTGTATTGAATGTTGTTGGTGAAGCACTCTGCCTCCTTTTGCAGAGACACAATTATCAAGGTGTGAGTGGCAAGAAAGAATGTAGCATAGGGAGACTAAGTGCCTCCAAGAGCCCTTAAGGGAAATGCAGAAGCAGGCCTCATTTCATCAGAATGCCAAGACAAGTTTCCTCATTCACAGGACTTCCTATCTATCATTGTGTCTTCTACATATTTCAGATGGCTTGAACAAGAAATGGGAAGGTTCTCCTAACAGTGACTCAAGGAAGCTGAGTGTTACAAGAGGAACACCGCTCCATACTTCCCTTTCTCTTGGGCATGCCAAGGTGGTCTGAAAGGATGGCTCAGTGGTAACCACAGATACCCCAGCATCTCTGGATTCTGGTACACAGATTTAACATCCTTGCATTAGAAGAGACTGAGCTAATCTCCCAAACCATCAGTTCTTACAGAAATACCGTGCTGGCTTTGCAGGAAGGTAGATATCAAGCGTCTGGGAATTATAAATCCATGAAAACCTGATACAAATCACCAAGGAATTTTTGATACAGTTATACTTTGTGCCCTTCTTTAAATCAAGACTCCTTTGTGGCCATATGCAACAAGCTAATAGATCCAGTTTTGTTGGATGAAGGAGGAGGATTGTGCCCTCCTCCCTTGAATCATAATGGATGGCTTTTAAAACAATCTTCTGCTTTGATCACAGTCTACAAATTACTACATGAAATCAGGATCTAACAAACCAGGATTTGTTAGATAAATATCACTACAACTGAATTTGACCAGCGTGCTACACATTTGCATTTACCATATGCTTCATGTATAATATTCACTTTCTAACAGCCCTGTATGGTTGTGGATCACAGCTGATCTAGGGTTTTGCTCAAGACTACCATCAAAACCTTTTTAAAGGGATAAAAAACCTGTTTTAATAATAGATATCCCTCTAACCTTTTGAACATCAAGTTTTAAAAAAGTGCAAAGAACATTGGTGCTTCTCCACTGAATCTATATGAAAATGCTTTTAATGTTCAATTCTTCTCTGTCTGCAAATGTAGCATTTCAGGTGGCTGCACGGGCAGGAAGCAAAGAGATTCAGGGAAGCAAGCAATGATATTCATGCTTAATTCAAGGTCTACTCCTCTCAAAAAAAACCTGTACTAAATTACACAAAAATGTGTGTTTTAAGAGTGCCGTGGATACTCTTATATTTCACAATAATCAGAGATAACAGACTAAATAATCGCACACCATATGAAATAGGAGAATAAGATCCTCTATAGATACTATCTACTTGTGCCCTTTTCCTGCTAAAGTGGGTCACTGAAAATATGTTTAATTGAAATAGTGACCACAAGGAAGAATGGTGTTGGCCTGAAAATATCCTGGCTGAAATGCTGTTGCACTAGAGTAGACTCACTGAATCTTGGGATTTGATGAGTCAACTCCTCTAAAAGTTCTATTGATTCAAATGGACTTACTCTACAGTAGCTGCAACCCATTTTGACATAGAGTAGGTCCATTTGAATCAATGGAATTTATGGAGAAGATGATTTACCAAATTCCCCACTGATTTAATGGCCCTAGTCTACTGTGGTTTACAATGCTAAGCAACAGGATTTCAGTCAGTAGGTCACTTGGAAAACCCACCAAAATTGCAAATCATCATCATCCTTACCTCTGTTTCCCAATACAATGCTTTTTTCTTTAAATGACTGTGTTGATGGATGAGATATCTCACATCTGATGGTCTTCTTAAAGACTTCCTCTGTTTGATTCAACTCTATTTTGCTTACAAAGTAACATAGATTTTCGATAATCCGAATGTCTTTGGGATTGTGTTCTTCTGATATTTTTTCCCAATCTTTGTACCAAATCACCCGTATATCTTGAGGTGCAAAATGTGATATGGATATCTCAAGAGAGATACTCTTGCTGTTTTGTTTTAACTTTATTTCAGACACAATGGGACTCTTTGCTAAATGGAAAGAAAAAAAACGTTTAGATTAACTAACAGCATAATTAAATGACTCCAGAATAGAGGTGGGGGTATTCGTATACAAATGCCAATATCCCCCCACAGGGGCCAGACCGACCACTCTCCCTTCAGCTGCTGCCGCACGCTCTGCACTCCCTTCCTATCGCTGCGGAGCTCATGGCGGATTAGCCACTTCTGGCAGAAGGTGGGATAACGAATCTCTCTGCCAAGTCGAATAGTGGCTAATCCATCATGACATCTGGAGTGATAGGAAGGGAGCATGGAGCTCTCAGCAGCGGCGGAATGGGGAGTGGTCGGTCTGGCTAAAGGGGGCCGGACCCTCATTATCTGCACCTGTGGGAGGATATTTGCATTTGTATATGAATACGAATACTCCCATCTCTACTCCTGAACCATTGTCTATTAACTTAATGAAAGAACTCAAGAATTTTAATAAGATTTTAAAAAACAGGATTGACACTTTTGTGCATGGAATTTAGTGTACAAGAACCACTGTGTGAAACCACTGTATTCAGCATAAGTAGAAGAGGTTGTTGTTACCATTCTTCAGAAACACATATAGATGGGACTCAAGAGCTGCGAATTCTACATAAGTAACTGTTGGCAATGAAGCTCATGGCATCCCTATTGGATAAGCCATTTGTGAGGTCTATGACACATGTGGCAAATTCCACAATGCTACTCCCTATTCTTCTCAGCTTGTATTAGTGCAGTTGGAACAAATATGTGGCATTTTACAGCTTATAATAAACCCACACCCGAAAAGCAGATTGAAAAGGGGATGCTAGTAGTTCATCTACAACTAGGAAAGAGGCAAGTATACCATCCAACCATGTTCAACTTCAACATGATTGCTTCCATCTAACCTCTCATCAGAAGAGAGAAACAGAGAGCTATTAATCTTCAGTGAGTAGACATCCAAACTAAAATCCTGGATTTTCAAAAACTCCACTATTACTATTAATACTGTCAAAGTGTGGTCTGCTTTTTAAATTTTAATGGATTTCAGCTGATTTTGAATGGGGTGGGTGTTTTGGATTACCACTGAATACAAATCTGCCATAAAAGTTTTGACACAGCTGACTTGTACTTCATATATATCTGAGAGTTAGAAATATACCTGTCTCCAAAAAAAAGGAGGATGATTTGTGACAGAAACAGCCCAGAATCCTGTTGGGGGGGAACCCTACATATGAAATAGCAATTGTGCAGGCAGTTTGTACCATTTAGCAGAACACAAGGGGCACAACTGAATTTGCATCCTATGGGTGACAAACACTCTGCCAGACCTTGCGAAAACATTGTTGCAAATAAGTTTTTTTCACAGGATTCTGGCCATTCTTTTCTATGCCTAGAAGAGTAATAAGCATACATAGTCATAAAAATAAGATATACAGTGGTGCCTTGACTTACGAACATCCCTACTTACAACCATTCCGAGTTACGACCAGCTCCAGCGGCAAAATTTTGCTTCTACTTGCAACCAGAGCTTTCACTTATGAACAGAAAAAGGCAGGGGGGAAAGGCAGGAAATTCAAATTTCTAACTGTAGGTGGCAATGAGGCTGCTTCTTTGTAGCTCTTTCACGCCAGCAGTTAGAGAGTGTGTGTTGGAGGAGGCTTGGGACTGCCTCGCTTTTGCTTCTGAGTGTGCATGTGTGTGTTTTTGCAGGGAGGCTTTGGGCTGCCTGAAGGTAAGGTGCAGTTTTCTACTTTTTAAAAAACGTTTTGGTGTTTTCACAGCGTGGTTTTGGACTGAAATATATAAATTTAAAAAACCATGTTTCAAAGGGGAACAGATTTTCATTTGACTATATTCTTCAGTCAGAACACACCACAGCCACATTCAGACATTTGCCTAAAATATGGGCTTAGGGCCATTCAGTATGTATAGTGAGGACACTGTTATGCATATCAACTCCACCACCTGAAGACCTGAACACCAGACCATAAGTACCTTCATCTGGTAAGGCATGGCGTCAGATCATCGGAGCTCTCTTAGTGTGTGCAGCTGAACACCCACAACCACGTCTTCAATCTCTGCACTCACAAAAATCTGTCTGACATCTGGAGTTGGGGGCAAAGCATACATGGTTCCCTATGTCCTCACACACAAAAAAGCTTTATTTGCATGTTCAGGCAAACACCTAAATACTTAGAAGACATATGAACCCAACAGGTTGTCAGTAAATACCTGGGAGTTTTAGGAACACTTCTTTCACAATGGGCTTTCTTAGCTTCTCATGGCTCACTCTGCAGCTAATGGCCTTGTTGAAATCAAATGCTGTAGGTGTCAGCTGAAATGTGGAAGATAACTTGTAACAGCCATTTGAGTCTTCCATTGGGTCCTCTGTGATTATATCATTCTTTACTAAATGATTGTCATGAAACCAATCAATATTAATGTCTCCAGGACAGAAGTCTGCGACATCACATCTCACAGACAACTTATTTCCATATTCAGCATCAATGGGTTCAAGAAAAATGTCTGTAACCTTGGGAAAACCTACAGAAGTGTAAAAAGAGCATTAGCAACAGAAGATTGGAAAACAGTTAAATTCAAAACATCTCAGTGCATCTGGCATTTAATGTATGAAAGCAAATGTAACAGATTTCAAATGGATTGCCATATTACTCTGTTAAAGCAAAAACAAAGTATTGAATCGCCTTTAAACCAGAGCCTAAATTACCAGAGGTATGTATAATGTGTGCTTCCTAACCTCTCTTACTATGTCCTTCTATATATTGAGGAACAGCCTCCATAGCAAGACGCTTTTTCTAGCAATATGTTCCATGTACAGTTTAGAAAACTGAATATCAAGGTTCCAGATAGGTAAATCACACAGATACCTTACATAACTTTCTACTGTTACATAAGTCATCCCTCAACACACTCTACATGGAAGAAAAACATTAGCTGAGAACTTTGTTAAAATATTAAACCAGCTCAAGCTTCCACAAGAGCACAAGAGCACCACCTAGAGATAAACAAAGATATCTGAGGTAAGTATGGACTAAACTTCACCAATTTAACTGGATTCTATACAAATCAGAAACCAAAAAGACAACTATATGGAGAGATCTTGTGGTTTGAATGTATGAGGGAAATAATTATTTTTCTAGAAAAATACTTCCTAGTTTGTTTTCAAATGATGTTTTATTCCAGCTCTGTTTCTGTTTTGCAGCTTTATCATACATCCCTTTGTGGTCTTAGTGAGCAAACAAATGATATATAAATATGATATGTAGATAGATGGATAGATGGAGAAAGAGAGAGAGAAAGAGAGAGATGTACATTGTAAATGACCACATGAAAGACAGAAAACAGAAATAACTCACTTGTGTAAACCCTTTGAAATAGGTAATTTACCTACTAGCAGTGTTAGTTTGTTGTAGAGCAATCAGAAGTTCTGTAATACCTTTAAGACTAACTACCTGTAGATTTTATTTCTGTATCCATGCACACTTCTGAAGATGAATGCAGTGACTGTCCTCTGGTGGGTTTAAAACTGTTGGCAAAGAGGGTGAGTTGGAGAGGACAAGAAGGTAGGTTTAAAATAAAGAGCTGAAGCAGCTATATAAGAGTTATGCCAATACTCACCTTTTAACATCAGTGGGTATGATTTTCTTTTCCTTGTGTTGCAATGGGTGATTTCAGCAGTGAAGTTTACCGCATGGTCTTCTGCACTAGGCGTAAAGAATATTTGGCTTTTCTTGCAGTACAGATTTGACTCTGCATCATCATGCCACTGTTCCTCTGTCCTATTGATCGCACAAGAGAGCTCTTCAAAGTCTCTTTTCCAACAAATGTCACATTCATCTGGGAAAAATTTTTCCACTGTACAAGACAATGTGACGGGCTTTCCACACTCTGGCATAGTGGGCTCACACTGAATTTGGGAGACTTGTGGAACAAATACTGTAAATAAACCACATGGATCATAAGTAAAAATGTTAGGATTCCAACTGGAAGATGAAAAGGAAAGCACAATTTCCTTCTGTTAACATATGAACAGATAAATCTGTTCAGCAATGCACTGCCAAAAATCACAATTCAGATTGCAATGAAGTGCCAAAATGGATATAGAGTGTGACTGTTGTGAAAAAAGAGGATTAAAAAAAAATGAATGAATAATAAAACAGAACTATAGACTATTCTAGGGAAGAGCCAGCAAGGCATAGTAAACAGAAAGTTGGACTAGGGCTCAATTTGAACCAGTGTTCAAATGCCCCCCCCCCACAAGAAGGAAACTCATTGTTGGCAATATTAATCAATTTCTTGAGTATTTCACATACCTCAAAAACCCTATTATGGTCATGATAATTTGGAAGTGGTTTTATGTCACAGAAACCACAATAGACTGCTCTGGTTTAAAACTAGACTTTTTTTTGTCTCCCATTATTGCTAAATATTTCCTAAAATGCTGATAATTAAGTGTTTGGCTACCTTAATATTTAAGAAAGGCCAGTTGTAGTGCACTCTGACTTACATAGATTATACCAACTGAACTATACTTATTTTGCACATTTAACGTCCAGTCGTGAGTTATAAAAGGCTATTAACCAACGGAAACCATGACTCCACCTCCAGCTTCCAAAGGTTCACCAAGTATACTCTTTTCACTGTCTCGCCAAAGCAAGGATGCTATCTCTTGTGATTAGTACCATTTCTGTACTTGCACACATAGTCATGACCAAAGGGAGGAGAAGCATTAATGGTGCCTCATTTGGAGTTCTTATGACTCATTAGAGCCATGTTATTTATTAAATTAATTTTAAATTGGCTGAAATCTAGTATATTAATTTTACATTGGCTGAAATCCAACCTATACTTGCATTGGGTTGCAAGTATAGCAAGACCATTGAATCAGTGGGCAGTTAGCAAACTGGCTCCTCCATAAGTTCCATTGATTCAATGGACCCACTCTAATTGTAACTTACAACAGGATATCACCCACTGTGTTTTTTAAATCACTTTCATCATGTTTCTTAATTTACTTTCTAATTCAATGACATTGTAATAGCATAATTAACTGAACTATGATTTAACATTATCACTTTGTGTTGATTTAATTTTCACAGAATCATAAAATAACTGAGTTGGAAGGGGCCTATAAGGCAATCAAGTCGAACTCCCTGATCAATTCAAGATTCCAAGTCAAAGCAGATCTGACAGATGGTTGTCCAATATTCTCTTGAATGGTTCCAGTGTTAGAGTGCTCAGCACCTCCTGAAGGAATTGGTTCTACTGTACTGCTCTGAAGGTTAAGAACTTTTTTCTGATATTCAGTATAAATCTGGCTTCCTGTAGCTTGAGCTCATTATTATGTGTTTGCACTCTGGGATGATTGACAACAGATTGTGCCCCTCCTCTGTATGGCAGTCTTTTAAGCATTTGAAAAGTGCTATCATATCTCCTCTCTTTCTTTTCTCAAGGCTAAATATGCCCAGTTATTTCAGACATTCCCCATAGGGCTCATTTCCAGTCCTCTGATCATCCTTGTTGTCCTCCTCTGAACTTGCTCCAGTTTGCTGGCATCCTTCTTAAAGTGTATTTTTTAGAACTGTAGACTAACCAGAGCTGAACAGAGAGGAACTAGTACCTCACGGGATTTGGAGACTATACTTCTGTTAATGCATCCTAAAAGAGTATTTGCCTTTTTTGTAGCTGTATTACACTACTGGTTCATATTCATATTTGTTGTGTACTGTTCTTTATCTTCCACAAGTTGCGGAAGAAAAGTAGGTTATAAAACAAATAAATAACAAGCAAACAAACAAATTGTTCTATATAAAAATGTAGTAGTAGTATACAGTACTATTAACAAATAGTGCTGGTGCATTAAAACAAATAGAAGAAGTTGAAATACATTAAAGCATCAATTTGTCAACAGATGATGTTGTCTTGAACAGATACTAAACTCAAAGATGTATACACAGAAACCATTCTAATTCTGAAAATAAGGAATTCTGAAATAAGCTTTACTGGGCCCACAGAGTAATCAGACAAGTTCAGACTAGCCCTCAACAACCCATACAACAGACAGGAGTCAGCACAAAAACTAGGGTGAGTTGTGCATACTACAGTGGGGTCTCGACTTACGAACTTAATCCATATTGGAAGGCAGTTCTCAGGTCGAAAAGTTCTTAAGTCGAATCTGCATTTCCCATAGGAATGCACTGAAAACCATTTAATCCGTATCTGCTCTTTTCGGCCATAGAAACTAATGGGAAGCTGCTACTCTGCCTTCTGCCCCTAGAGGGGGATATTTTTTCTTTTTTTCTTTTAACCTAAGATGACTTAGCTTTAAAAAAAGGGGGGGGGAAAAGAGTTCGTAACTCGAATCTAAGTTCGTAAGTTGAGTCCATATAGTCCTATGAAAGCAGTTCGTAAGTCGAAACGTTCGTATGTCGAGCCGTTCGTAAGTCGAGACCCCACTGCATAGTATGCAGTTGTGACAGGAGAACCTGGGAGAAAAGGCACTTCATTTCCCTGGGGCACAATCTGCACACTTATTTATTCATGACTGTAAAATCCTTCTTCAGGCTTTCTCCCAAGATGAATGATGGCTAGAACTGGAGATGGGAAAGGAGATGGGACTATCCATGCTGGGCTACATCCCTCGGTTTGCTGCTTCCTCAGGGCCTGACCTTGCCATGTGGAGTGGGAAGGCATACAGCAGATCCACATTCAAAGGAAGATCAGGGATTTGTGGAATGTTAAGGGCAGCCCCCCCACCAGGTTTTATCTCTTAAACATTCAGAAGAATACATGAAGAGGATACCAGAGGTAGGCAAAATATCAGGATATATTGGGAGATCTCTGGACATTTTTAAATAGATCAGGAAGGGTTTCTGATGTTCAGGTATTTTATAATGGCAACTAAGAGCGGTGTTCTGATCTGAAACAGGAACCCTATAAGGTAAGTCAGATACTACATCACTGAGGATAACTCTCACTGAAGACCTTACTTCTCCTAAGATCTGGGACCAAATTGATGCCTCTTACACTAGACCAGAAGCTTCCTCTCAGACAACATCTCTTACTATCAATCAGAAAGCCTTAAAGGGGCAGTCCTCTGGCATACTATCTAGCAATCCTTCATCTCTCCAAAAATGCATGCCAGGCCACTATCAACAATGACACACCAACTCTGTGGTTTGCAGAGCTATTTTGAGCTGGCCCAGTGTTGGTGCTCAGCTCAGGGGATGCATTTGTCCAGGTCCGTGAATCTTTAGCAATTTTAATAGACATTTTCTAAACAGAAAACTGCTTACATAAGCTATCTTGTATGTGGGACCACAAGAGAAGAACACATTAGAAACCACACATTTATTATTTAAAATAAAATCTGTTAAGTCTCTTTGCAACTTACCCAGGGTTTTCAGCTCCCAAACTGACTCTCTGCACTGCTGTGAGTCTGTGAGGTTAGCTTTACAGAAAAATCTTGTTCCGATATCTGATGCTTCGGGGCAATATGTTATACTGCTGCTGCATGAGAAGAAACCATCTGGACCTTCTGCGGAGCTGCTTACAAAAGGTTTGGTTTGGAGAGGCAGATCATTTTTATACCATTGGACATTAATTGTCTGTGGGAAATAAGAATGAATTCTGCAACTAAGCCTTAGAGGTTCATCTGATTTTGGCATGTCCGTGGCACACTGTATTTGATCCAGCAATGGTGGCGCTAGGAAGGAAAGCAAGAAAAATTTGCACTTGGAAGAGAAACAGCACTAAAAATGTAACAAAGTACTGAAAGGTATTGAGCAAACCCAGTGAAACAGATTCAAATGCAGGAAAAGCTGCTACAAAGAAGTTGGAAAATACGAAAAAAAAATGTCATGGAGGTGGGACGAGAGAATGTCAGGGAAACATAGGAAAGGATCCCCACATTCAACTGCTCCCTCTTGCACCACCAGTGACTAAACAAAACCATGGACCTGGGTCCATGGTTGGTTCTCATGCTATCTGAATACAGCAACCATCAGCTTTCTGACTTGATTTTATTCCACCAAAAGGAAAAAAAAATTACATTACAAACCACGGATTCATCTAGTATTTTGTCAGGAAGAATAATAAGCTGTACATTTCCACATATAGTAGTGTGACCATAGAATCACAGCAGCTAATTAAGGCTACTTAATGAGGCGCCATACCTAGCCGCACAATGCCACCTCAATTGGCCACAATTAGGCACACCAATCTCCGTGACTGTGCTATAACCTAAGGAAAAGCACCAATAGGATTTTGGTTATTATTTTGTGGAAGCACAGAAAAAAAAAGATTCTGCAAGCAAAAACAAAAAATAAGGGTGCCACTACGGTGGGAAGGTAATGGCATTCCACGTCTAGTCGTGCTGGCCACGTGACCATTTTGACTCCTGACATTAATGTCAGCATTCAAGCTGCCCTGTGCTATATAAAGCTTGGAATCCTCTTTTCTGCTGGCGCCATAGGCACAATATTTTGCAGTAATATTGGCCCATTGCCTGGTTTTTTGAGTTGTGGGTACAGAAGCACACTTTTTCATTCATAAAGCAGACTTGAACTAAGATAACCAAACAAATGCTTTTTCCTGTACAAGGAGAGTGCTGAGATAGGATTCCTCTGTCTCTAGACATTTTAAATTTGAATTTGAATTCAGTTGTTATAAATAATAGTAAAATCAGACAGTCACATTGTCATCTCATTTATCACCATAATTGCCCAAGCTAACGGTTTTCTCACCATTTATCAAGAGGATTAGGAGGAGGGTTGCTAATCATTATTTCAGATTATCTTCCTTACTTACCAGTGACTCGAAATGATTTTGTTTCAGTATGTTGTAGGGTTCCATGTTTAACTTCAAGTAAAAGTTCAAAATTCTCCACTGTCCTAACGTCTGGAAGTATGTAGATTTGGCAGGAAGCATCAAAAGTGCGTCTTGGTTTTGCTAACAAAGTTGGATAAAAACTGAACATATCCTGTTGCTGTAGAAGAGGAACATTTTCATTGCCTTGTTCAACATTGCCTAATGCACTTGTATTCCAAGAGAATATTTTCTGTTTTTTGTTCTGAGGATGAATTATTAGGAAAAAAGCTAAATCCAAATGCTTTGGTCGAAAGCCAGAAAACAGGCACTGCAACCGCGCTTGTTCCAAATGCTTCAAGTCTGTATTTCCAACCATAGCCACAATCGTTGGTTGTCCTGTATGGAACAATGTAAAACTGAGTTCGCCTCTTTGCAAACCTTACAAACAGTGTTTCTATCAATACAAAACATTATTTCCATATTTTGTTACAATGCATTCTTTCTGTGATTTTAAACTGTCAGTTCAGTCCATTTAAATCAGTGATGGGTAAAGTGTAACCTTTCATATATTGTTGGACTACAACAATATTGTTGGACTACTACAGTGGTTGTGCTAGTTAGGGCTCACAGAAGGGTATACTTTGCTTACCCCTGATTGGAATACTATAGTGGCTGCTACCTAAGGATGCAATGTGCAAAAGGATGTATTAGGAAAGCTCTATTAGCATCACTATAAATCATTTCTGCCTTGATGGCACATAATGCAAACCATTCAAGATCACCAATCAGTTTCAGTTTTTAAAAAAGGGCTTTTAAGAGCTAAAACAGCCCAAGGAGAATGACTGCACAGTGTCCCGCTCAAGGCTTTTGATAGTGTGCATTTTTAGAACCAAATAGTTTTGGGAAAGCATTTGGGGGTGGGAAATCTACTTTAGATGCACTTTGCCCTCTAAAACCATATGCAACCCACATGTTGATATTTGCCCATCCCTGGGCTACTTGTGAGAGCGCCTCTCCCAGTGTCATCTGCTCAGCCCATCATATCTTTCCTGGCTATGCTCCTCTGGGTAGCTACTGAGGGAGGCCTGGAAGTCATTTATGAGAAGTAACGCCTTCTTCACGGTGACACCAACTCTGGAACCAACTCCCAATGGAGCTATTCTTGGCCCATTCCTTGTTAACGTTTAGAAGGCAGCTTAAAATACACTGGTGCCCCGCATGACGACAATCCATTCCAGGAAAATCGCTGTACAGCAAAATCGTCGTCATGTGGAAAAAATCCCCATTGGAATGCATTGAAAACCATTTAATGCATTCCAATGGGGAAAATACCTCGTTGTCCAGCAAATATCACCCATGGAAAACCACCGATCAGCTGTTTTAAATCACTGTCTTGTGAAGCTTCTGTCCGGAAAACAGCCATTTTGCGAAGGGGAGCCATCCATTTTGCGAAGAAAGCCATTTTGCGGAGCTGGTAAAATCATCATTTTGCGAATAAACGGTTCGCGAAGCAAGGACCTAATCGACGTCAAGCGAAAATCCCCCATAGGAAACATTGTTTTGTGATCGCTATAGCGATCACAAAAAAGTCATCGTCCTGCGGTTTCGTCATTCAGCGAGGTTGTCGTCTAGCGGGGCACCACTGTACTGCTTTTCAATGAGGACTTCCACAAGGACCCTGCCTGATTTCATGCCACTTGTCCTGTGGCTACAGAAATAATATGCCTTTGTTGTTGTTGTTTACTTTTTTGAATTTTTTATTCCTTCCATTGCTTATTTGTAAATCTACTGTTATACATCTGTTAATTCTGTCATGTTGTAAACTGCCCGGAAAAGGGCATTGCAGTAGCGGGGTGGTATATAAATTAAATAAAGAAACAACCAACAAAAACAAGATAGACAGAGAGGAACCTCAATACTGAAAACAGATTCCTCTGCTAAGCCTTGATAAAGTCATGACATGGAGGATGGCGAGGGGAGAGAGAAGATGGCAAGCTTGCCTATAACAAGGATATGGCAGGAGAGATTTATCAAGGAATAAGAACCAAAAAAAATATTTTTATGAGTGACTCAAGGAAGGAAAAATTATGAGGTACTGCTGTGATGAGAGGAATAGAAAGGATACAATCTGATTGTTCACACATTTACTACTTTATCTACAAGAGATGTCATCAGTGTTTATACACACTTTAATCTGCAGCAGATGCACGTGCACCATTATAAGACTGCAAGCTGCATCTGCTTAACTAGAAGTAAAACTCATTGATCTTACTAGAATTTACTTTTGAGTAGACATGCAGAGGACTGTACTGAATAGTGACGGAAAAGTCTGTAATTGCTGAACAAAAAGCATTCTGTATGTGCTCAGAAATTTATTTAACTTATTTTTATCACATACACATCCTATTACTTTTTAATTTTTTTAATGAACCTATATATGTAAAAATGAGCACATGTATATTTTACACAAATTAGTATCATGGGACCCTGTCTAGGAAACTAGACTAGGCGCAATGAATCAATTGGGATTTATTATAATAATTTTCAGTCAGGGTAGGTCCATTTGAATCAGTGGAACTTACAGAAGATTTGACTCACTAAATCCTCATTGATTCAGTGGGTCTACCTTGGTGTAATTTATTATGTTAAGCAACAGGATTTGCACCAATGTTTATTTATTTTGTGTAAATGTGTTTCTAATGCACCTGCTTTTATGTTTTATCACAATACTTTTTTCTCCTCTATTTTATTATCAACAGCAACCTTGAGAATCATTTGAAGTTTGTGTATCTGTGTGTGTGTGTGTATGCCTTTAATAAACAGATATTTTAATCTACTTACGTTTACTTAAATATGCATAGTACGCTATTCCACAAAGTATAATAATCACAAGAACTACAAATACCAAAACTATAGGGAGTGCTTGTACTTTCCAATCAACTGGAGGATCTGTAAAGGAAAACAAACATTAAAAACATTCAGGATGGTTGAAATTTTAAAAATCAGATTTTTTTGATTATTAAAATAAGAAATGATTTTCTAAATTTAAATCAATTTGATTTTTTAAAACCCTTACTTTTTATCTACTGACATTATAGAATTGCCAAATATTGTAACACTACTTGCAGCATTTCTTATATAACATGTATTGCATTTATATCTATTTATTTCTTATTTCACCTTTTTTTCCCCAGTACTGGGATCCAAGACAGCTCACGCCATGATTAAAAAGCATTTGCACATAAAAAGTTGATTCAATTCTTCAAAAACCTCCTGTTTATGAATGTGGGATATTGTGCTTCTGTATCCACGATTCAAAAAGCCAGAAAATAGGACGATATTGTGGCACAATATCATACCCGCATTGCCAGCAGGAAAAAGGATGCCAAGCTTTATATAATGAAGGGCAGTCTGAATGTTGATAACACCAATGGCAGCAATCAAGATGGTCTACAGGATACCCTCTTCTGTTCGCTACCATTCACAAAGTGACACCACACAGGCAAAAATCCCAGAAACTGACTCCTTTTTTTCATCAGTTAACCACTTCTCATCCAAACACAAAACACTTGTCAGGGCTGTTTTTCAACAAGTTTGAATGGTAAAACAACAACTGATATTAGAAGGAACACAGTCGGAACACAGTCTTTATCTCCCTTTCCTCAGCAGCCAGCCAGCACTTCTTTTCCTGGGCGCCCTGACTAAAAATTCCCTGCTGTCAGTGGAAGAACAAAAAGAGGGAGTTGCCTAGTTTTGCTTGGTGGGGAGTTCCACAGCCTGGGAACCACCACTAAGAAGGGCTTCTTGTGTTCCCAACATAACTGCCTATGAAAGTGGTAAGAGCAAGAGAAGGACCACACAAAAGATCTTAAAACCTGGTCAACTGACATTGGAGATACAGCTCTCCAGAACCCATGTTCATATGACTTGGGCCTAAGCTCCCACATCATATTTTACCACATGCTCTAATAAGATGAACACTCCTGTTACAGGAACAAATCCTTTGGTGGCAATAATTCTGGAGTGACTAGAATAGAAATGCCTTTTATCATGATTCATACTGGGATCACTCCAATGATTTCCAACAACAAAAAACCAAGATACTTATTCTATGATTACTCTTCTGGAGTAAATCTTATGAATGTATGAATTTAGAATATCTCCCCGATTCAGCAGTAAAGAACATCTACCTCAAAGGCCAGTGTAAGGTAAAGGTAAAGGTTCCCCTTGACAATTTTTGTCCAGTCGTGTTCGACTCTAGGGGGCGGTGCTCCTACAGGAACAAATCCTTTAGTGGCAATAATTCTGGAGTGACTAAAATAGAAATGCCTTTTATCCTGATTCATACTGGGATCAGTCCAATGATTTCCAACAAGAAAAAGCCAAGATACTTATTCTATGATTACTCTTCTGGAGTAAATCTTATGAGATAAAGGTACGTATGAATTTTGAATATCTCCCCGATTCAGCAGTAAAGAACATCTAACTCAAAGGCCAGTGTACCAAGAGAGTAATGTATGTATGATATGAATCCTTGACAGCTAACTATAATGGGTTACAGCATAATGATAACAAAATTAGGAAGACAAAAAAGAGGATTACCTGTCACTGTTAAAATGGCACTGAAGACTGCTTTTACAGGAAATGATCTGTGCTCCACAATGCAACTATAATTATTTCCATCATCTTGTGAAGACGGCTGAAGTCTCAGCTTACTGCTGACACTGAAAGTGCTGTCTCCATTTTCCACAGGCAATTCATTGCAAATGTCTTTTGCAGACACACTCTGATCCTGAGTGTGCTTGGAAATCTTTTGCCAGTAAATGACAATTGAACTAGGGTAGAATTTATCTACTGTACAAGAGAGAGTCTTCTCCGTCCCCCTTTCTACTGTCACTTTGCTGGGTGTCAGGCTGACAACAGGTTCAGCTGTATGGAGAGTAAACACAAAATTCTGTTAAGAGTGCAATCCTAAGTAGCAAAGATGGCTGAGGGCTGGCTGAATTGACAGTCAGGGTGCAACTACACTGGCAAGTCAAACTGGAGTAATTTGGCTTGGCTGCAGCTTGATTCACAGACTCTTTTATGACTGCATTCAGTTCAGGTGATCACACGAAGATCCTGGACTGTTCAGTGCCAGTATCCACACTACCTCTCAATCCAATGAGGTTTGATATGAACCCACAGGCCCCATCCTGACTCTTCTTTTCTTTTCTTCTTTTGGTACAGATGTGATCTAGTGCTAAACTGATGTATCAATGCAGTGCTAAGTCAATCCATTACTAAACTTCTTTTAGTTCACTTTTTTTAAAAAATGTACAATAATTCAGGATGACTAAACAGAAAGATTACAGGGGTAGATGTTCCTGCTGTCACAAAACATCACACCTCAGCCCCATACGTCAGCATAACACCACCCATGGCAGTTTAGACAAGATACTCAAAGGTTTGAGACTCATTACATCCTCTTCTGATACATGCCATTCCTCAGCATTAAAATCTGCCAGGATTGAACTAATCCCAAACAGGAACCCTCCAAATTCCAATGTTTTATTGCAAGTCCCATTCCCATGTATTATATAAAAATGTACACAGAAGAAAAAAGATGGGCTGAGAGAAGAGATAGGAAGGGGAGGGGCTGCAAAGTCCACCAAGATCATCTGTAGCCATGCCTTAAGAGAAAATAGTCTTCAATCATTTGGGCATACAAAACTGTGTATCACCCCAAATACTTTTATACAAGTCAGGTTGAAATAATTTCCTCAACTCCCAGTTCTCCAAATCATCCTGACAAGGCTGACCATCTCCGCCTGAAGCAGACAGGTCGTGGGTGGAATTAAGCATGCACTTCCCATTCTTCCTCTGCTAGAAATAACCCCCCCCCTTAATATGTTTTCCTACATAAAATGATATTTCAGAGTAAACATCTGCATTGAATTAGGATCTGGTAACTCTGGGATTTTGAATCAACAAGCTTGTATGGCACAACCACTTACCAAGTACTTCTAAAATGGTTGTTCCTTCAGCATGATCTGGAGTTACAGTCACAGAACATGTGTATGCTCCTTCATCTTTGGCCTGTATCTGTGGAAGGAAAAGAGCAGCATTGCCTTTTTCTAATTCACTTTCATCCAGTCTTGATCCATTTCTGTTTGAAGTATGTTTTCCACCAAGAAACAAGTATAATTCTTTTTTCCCATTCACTCCAGAAGTCTCTTGATGCCAGACCACTGCCATTTTTTTAATATCCAGTTCAGATGGGCTATGCTCAATTATATCACACTGCAGCACCACATCTTCACCGAAATGCGCTGTTCTCTGTCTTGACATCTTTACCTCCATGGTTTCTTCAGGAAGAAAAATCAGCATTATTGGAAAACATACTTTCAAAGAGAATATTATTGTAGGCCATTTTTTTGCACCTCTCACTCTGCACCTCTCAATCTGTTCTTGTTTAGTCGTTAAGTTGTGTCTGGGTCTTTGTGACCCCGTGGAGCAGAGCACACCAGGCCCTCCTGCCTTCCACTGCCTCCCGGAGTTGGGTCAATCCTAATCTAGCTTCTTGCAAATCACTGATTTTAAAGTGTGATTTATCTTAAAAGGTATTAGGCTAGTTAGATATATCATATTTTTAGTACTGTGGTTTGTTTTCTCAATAGAAACACAAAACCTACAGAGCATCCAGAGTCCTTATAGCCATCATGGCATCTAGTCTCTAGCGGAGAAGGAACAAAAAGGAGAAAATCCAAAGAGAATCCACACATGAAAGAGCTGTATCTCAAGATGCTATGAAGTGATATTTATTGTTAACAACAGTGGTTCCCAACCTTGGGTCCCCAGATGTTCTTGGACTACAACTCCCAGAAATCCTGGCCAGCACAACTAGTGGTGAAAACTTCTGGGAGTTTTAATTTAAGAACATCTGGGGACCCAAGGCTGGGAACCAGTGGCTTACAAAACAGATGCTTTTCAATCTATTGAGACCTTCTTTAGCAGTTTTAAGGAAACAACTCATAGAAAATGCCATTAGGACTCACCTGTAGAACTTCTCAATGACTAAAACGTATGAATGTGTTTCAGTTATAGAGAACCCATAGTTGTATTGGCTCTTGCCTCTCCACTGGAGTCAGTTACAGAGAACCCATAGTTGTATTTGGCTCTTGCCTTTCCAATGGACTACTTCAGCAACATGGAGAGGGGGGATTTGCTGCTTGGGTAACAGCCTATCCTCCATATTACTTTACCCAAGCTTCATGCTCTGGAGAGGACACTCCAGCTTCACATACAGTGTCGAAGTCCTCCATACAGAACACGTTACCATAGTCTCTCGAGACTGAAGGATGCCTATGATGATGGGAAGACTATGAATATTATTCTGTTAGGAGTGCATCTTTCAATCTTGAAAGATGATGCTGTTAAGGTATCAAAACAGCACTCTGTAAGCTATTGCTGATAGCAGGGAACAATCCAAAGAAGAAGTTATAACTTTTGAACAATTCTTGAATTGGGACCATATTTGGCAAAGTGTTTGTACATAGTATGGACTTGCTCTGTGTCAAATTGGAGAACACTGTACAAGCACTGTACCTTTAAAGATCTAGTTTCTATCTGAAAGAAATCTTCCCCCATGATCTCATTTGGCTACCCCCCCCCTTTTTTTTTTGGCTTGTAGCAAATTCAATGGTTATTTTTTAAATGCCAACTTCAGCTTCCTGAAAAGGAAATCATTCTTGCTACACATTTTTTAAAATCAGAAGTTGATCTGTCCTGTCATTTAGAAGATCATAATAAGTATGTGGCATCAAGTCAATTCTGAGTCATTTTCAGGGTTTCTAGGCAGAGAATACTCAGAAGTGGTTCACTATGCCCTTCTTCTGGGACTGCTCCAAAGACATGGGGCCTTAAATATTCTTCTTCTACTCAGGAACATTTTCATAAACTCTGCCTGCAGCTGTCATAAATTCTAGCTGCACCTATCTATTATAGCAATTTCCCAACTTCTTGACAGCACTTCAAGAAATTGATGACTCTTGTTCAGGTGAACAAAGTTTACTTCTGGGCAAGACTGTAGATTGAGACTTTAGCCTAACCACAGGTTTATACAGAGGGCTGTTTTCATACACTGTATATAACTTTATACAGGAAAAACTAAGACTTTTATTGTAGCAGTTGTAGCCATGTTAGTCTGTGCAAGCATTATAAGTGGAAACAAAGTAAAAAAAAAACCCCAAAAACCCCCAAAACATGGTGGCACCTTAAAGACTAACTTTTATAATTTTTAATGTGTGTTTTGCTGGACCAGTCCACTTCATCAGACATAAGAGAAGGCAATATGACATGGCAAGTATTTATACATGGGATCAAGGTTGGTTGTGATATCCTTAATTCTAACAACTTTTGAGTGGCAGTCCATGAAAGTTTAAACTAAATTAAACCTATTAGTCTTCAAATTGCTATGAGCACATACTGTGCTATCTTTAAGGCTTAACATTTACAGTAATTCAGTGTGAGTTTTCACGGGTTATAATCCACTTCATTGTCATCCACTAAAGTTCACACTGAGAAAATTTTATTGGTGTTTAAGGCACCTTAATACGGGGGGCGGGAGGGGGCTTGCTTTTTCTGAAACAGACTAACACAGGTAACCCTGTTGACAATGTAAGCTGCGACTCTCCACCTTTGCTGAGGAGTGGGATAGGGGGAGCGTATTCTGATCCTGAGGCGAGTTAGGACTTCATTGTCCTTAAGAGCCAAGCCTCCAGCCAAAAAAAGGCAGGCAGTAACTGTTCACCTCTCTTTGAAGTCTGGCGCCGCTCTCGCCTCAGCCACCGGCTGCCCGCCCTCTCACGCCCGGACCGCCGCTGGCCCTGACGGTGGAGCGGGTCCTGCTGCTTTCCTGCCCAGCCCGTTTCCGTCCACCGAGCAGCAGCAAGACGCTCGCTCCCCCCGACCTCCCCGGACCACTTTTCTAAGACGTCCCTTTCCCTTCCCTGAGCGAAAAGACCGAGAGAAGACGGGAAGCTGGGCCCAAGCTGGAGGGCAACCACGAGACCCCCCTGGTTTCCACAGAGCCGCTTCCCGGGTCCTGCTGCTTTCCTGCCCAGCCCGTTTCCGTCCACCGAGCAGCAGCAAGACGCTCGCTCCCCCCGACCTCCCCGGACCACTTTTCTAAGACGTCCCTTTCCCTTCCCTGAGCGAAAAGACCGAGAGAAGACGGGAAGCTGGGCCCAAGCTGGAGGGCAACCACGAGACCCCCCTGGTTTCCACAGAGCCGCTTCCCTCGCTTTTTGCGCCTGCCTCCCCCCCCCTTTGTTACCTGCCGACTGCAGGAGTTGTCCCAGACCCACCAGAAGGGTCAACAGGCGGCCGTTGCCCCCCTCCAAGCCTCGCCCCCGCTTCATGGCTGTTGATGCCCGGCCTCGAGATCTCCTTTTGCCCCCCTCGAGTGTAAACAGTTTCACTTTCACTTCGCTTCTGCCTGGAGAGAGGAGGACTCTACTAGCAGATCAATAAACTGCGACTGAGCGTGTTGAACCTTCCGAAACCGGGCTAAAAGGGTTATAAACAGGTGCATTTAGGAATAGGTTCCGCCGAGTTCGGTGGGGCTTGCTCTCCGGGCGGAAGGGATACTAAATTTAAACATTTCACTAAAAATGCGTATGTTTTATTCTAGGGACAAGACAGCTTCTGAGGAGTCATGTCATTATGAGTGGCTTCTCATCACTGGCCAAAATCACAGAGATTGCTTTATAGTCCCACAAACGGCTTGTGTACCTTTTATGTTTTCTTGCCCGTACCCTGCCGGTCTAAACTCCTTGACTCCATTCTCTTCCTCCCCTTGGCGGGATCCACTGTTAGGGTTCGTTCTTTGGCAAGCCCTCCTGGGGCTGCTAGTCCACATCCCACCCTGTTCTTTTGCTCTGTGCACCTGTCTTCTAGATCACTGGTTCTTAACCTTGGGTTACTCAGGAGTTTTGGACTGCAACTCCCAGAAGCCTTCACCACCAGCTGTCCTGACTGGGGTTCCTGGGAGTTGCAGTTCAAAAACATCAGAGTAACAAAGGTTAAGAACCACTGTTCTAGATCAGTGGTTCCCAACCTTGGGTCAAGCAGGTGTCCTTGGAGTACAATTCTCAGCAGAAGCTTTCTCCACCAGCTGTTCTGGCCAAGATTTTTGGGAAGCGTAGTCCAAGAACACCTGGGTGACCCAAGGATGGGAACCTCTCTTACAACTGATCAAAAATGACTTGAGAAGGGAACAGTCACCAAATATTCTTAAAAGATATTAACGCTTAAAACATCTGCGTTTGACAAGTTGGAAGAAAGGCATTGGTTGTTGGTAAAGGTGAAATCCCTGGAACTGCAGGTGAAGAATAGCACATTGTTAGAATTGGCATCTAAATGTACAGGATGCAAATTCAAGTATTATGCCCCTCACTATGATTCTGATGAACTAATAACTGAGCTTACGAAAGGTGTGCATCTACCATGTAAAGAAAAATAAGCAAAACATCACAGGACCTGACCAGCAGAAACGATCAGTTATTTGAGGAAGGAATCAAAACATGAATTGGGGATTAAATTTAAAACAAATAATCCAGTCTTTTTATAGGTTCTCAGTTCGGAATTATTTAAAATAAGTAATAGAGTTAAAGTTATAGAGTAAACAGGAAAGTTATTTCTAGTACATTTATATAAAGATAGGAAAGGGAAACAAAATAACCATTTATTGTGGCCGAAACCATGTAGCAACCTTCAATCTTCTAAAGCAGGGCTGTTAGTTACTGTATTTTGAGGGACTAAAATTATCCCAGAATAGGATTGAATATTCAGCATAGACCCCATAAATTAAACAGAAAGGAGAGCTTGGGGAGTGTACTACTAAACATATACTGTTTTAAAACACATTTGTTTATGATTCGCAGGAGTTGGTACTGTTTTCTGATATGAACATAATCTGTTTACTTTTTTATGAATAACAACTGGTAGAAAATGATGGCCAGAAAATACTCAGAAGCAGACTTGGAATTCAGTTTAATCCAATTTAAATCTATATAAAGTACAGGCTGAACAATATTCTTCTTATAAATATTACACTGGAGAACATATGGGTATGTACAACTTTGCCATACCTTATACCCAAAGGAGGAATTAAAGAACCTCGTAATGAGGGTGAAAGAGGAAAGTCTGAAGCTGAATATTTAAAAAAAACTAAGATCATGGCCACTGGTCCTATCACCTCCTGGCAAATAGAAGGGGAAGAGATGGAGGCAGTGACAGATTTTACTTTCTTGGGCTCCATGATCACTGCAGATGG